ACACACGGTGTTTAGCTGGTCCTGGTAACAGGGAATGCTCAAGAGATGGTCGTAGAGAAGAGATTGTGCCCAAAGAAGTTGTTAGAGGTGGTCTGAGGCTGGAGGTGGGAGAGTCCCCGCATCTCTTCGGTACAAACACTGTTGAAGCAAGACACAGATCTACCAGACCGCAGTGCAAACTTCCCGATTATGTTTTAAATCTATTTAATCTATTATCTTTTATAGACTCAAGTTCAGAATAGTGTAAGTGGTCAAGGAGTTAGGAATAAAGTGGTAGAGTACTGGGGACACAGTGGTTATAATTTGATTGCTCACCAAAAGATCGTTGGTTTGAACTCACCAGCTGCTGTTAGAAAGATGTGGCAGTTTTCTGAAAGATTCACAGCCTTGGAAGCCTTATGAGATTTACAGGGTCACTAAGAGTTAAACTCGACTCCACAGCCCAGGGTAAGGTAAATGGTTGAGAGTTGTAGAGAACAATCTGATTGCTTACAAAAGTGCAACAATAGTTTTCTAGAATTGAGGTCATTTCCCCCAGGAGTCATGAAGTCTTGTTTATTTACTCTGTAAGGATGGAAAGTATTTGTTTGTGGAATGGGGTGGTAAAGTGACGAAGTTCAAGTGAAGTTCTGAAGGTGAACGCCTAATGATGATTTTCACGGGTGGAATGAGTGTAAGAAAAGGAAGCCACGCGCGAATAGAAGTCTGAACTCAAAACACAGGCAGCCAGGCAGGGAGGCAGGATGAGTGGGTCACGACAGGGGCAGGGAAGGCTCCAGACGTGAGAGTAGCGAGAATGAGGAGTTGGCGGCGTCACGCGGGCGTCGTCCCGGGGCTGCGTCTGTCCCGAGGTGGGCGCTGGGGCGGGGCCAGCCGGCCCGGGGCGGGGCGGCCGTTCGGGCTCTCCCGGCCAGCACGAGGCGGTGCCCCCTCCCCTCGCGCCGCGGGCCTCCCCGCGCCGTGCACGTCCCCGTCCCGCGCCCCCGCCCCCTCGCTCGCTCCTTCCCGCCCTCCCCGCAGCGCCGGCCGAGCCGGCTTCCCTCGGTCTCTCATGAATATTGAGCGGCCCCTGTTGTATTTCCCGAGCTCCATTGCGGAAGCCGAGGCTCGCCATATTGTGCGGCGGCGCCGGCGGCTGCGGCGGCTACTACCTGAGTCTCGCTCCGGCCGCGGCCAGCGGAGCCCCGGGCTGGGGCAGGAGTAGGTAAGCGGAGTCGGCGGGGAGGTGAAGGGCGCGGGAGCGGCGGGCCGGGGATGCCTGTCTGGTCGGCCGGGGTGCGGACGGCGGCCCCGTGGCCGGGCGGGGGTGTGTGTGTCCGCGGGGGTGTGAGTGGCGATGGCGCCGCTGCCCCCGGCCGCTCTCCTTGTTGGGGAGGCGGCTTCTCATTGTTCCCTTTTCTTCTTCGAGGGTCCTGGGAGCGGGGGCGGAGTCGGGTGAGCCTAGCTTCTGGGGGACCTACTGGGCGAAGCGCAGAGAGCGTTTCCTTCGCGCGGAGCCCCCAGCTCGGCGCGGAGGCTGGGACTGCAGTGGACCCAGCCTCTCTCTGTCCCCACTCCGAAGGCGAACGGTGTGGAATATGGGTTTTCCCCCTTTTGCAGCCGGGGTGTGTGTATCTGCACCGTGGGGGTGGGGTCGGGGCGCTTTGTGCAAATAGCCCCCCTTCTTCTGCGGGGCCAGAAGTCTGGGTTTTCGTGTAAAGTGGCAGCTCGGCGGTGGGGTTCCTTCCAGTCCTCCTGGCTGAAGCATTCCTGGAGTGCCGTCTGCCTGCTCGCTAGTATCTGTCTGGTGCTGCTTAGAATTTCTAAAGCTGCGAGGTTTCCCCGACGAGTCATGGGGAAGGGGGAGGGGGTGTCTTGGTTTGTGTCTTTTGGAAGCCTCTGGTTTTGAACCCTGTCGTCTGCGTTGAGGTCTTTGGGGTACCTCGTATAGCCGTCACCTTGGTTGTCAGAATCGTTCCTTCCTACAGAAGTCCTCTTCTTGCTTCCAGAGATGTTGTTAGTTAAAATTGGGTTTATGAACTTTGAGATTCGTTATGATTATTTGGCCACGAAGAACAAATATAAGCTCGTTTTCGTGAAATCTTTGCGATTTGACTTTGTAAAATGTCAGGGTTCTTTGAGGTGTGTAAAGAAATTTGCTGAGGAAAAGGGTAGGTTTGCGTTCAGCATTTTAATAATATGCTGGTTTTCTTAATTTTAAGCAAGGTATGATTTCAGTGTTTTAAACAGTTTTGTTGAAAACTAATGTATGTTAAGTAATGATTTGCATTGCATAATCTACTTCTGGTAGTTTCAAGAGATCATTTGTAATGCTTAGTGTAATTGGTGGATGATCTACTTTCCCCACTTGCATTAAAGTGTGGTTGTTGAATATTTTAATAATATTCAAATAGAAAGCTGTTAGATTGTGGGTCTTAAAACAAATATTTTATCCTTTGATATAATGAATTTAGTTGGCAGCAGTATGACTCTGGCTGCTCTTACCCTTCTCCCCCAACCCTCCCTTGAAATTTCTACTTGTTTCAATCAACAGGTAACTTTAAAAATCTTAATTGTATACTTCTTATTAAGGTAATAGGTAGTTACAGAAGACTCTGTCTTTCAAGGTTAACAAAGCAGATACCGTCCTCTCTTTTTCTAAGGACTTGAGTTAATGCATTTCACTTGTGTACCCTTGTGGAATCCATGTCTGAGGTTAATTATAGTAGGTGTGAAAATGAAATGGAGAATTCATGAAGAAAACTGCTTGTCTGTCAGTCTTTCTTGAGTATTTGAAAAATATGCTGATTGTCTTCAGTGTGCTGCATAGAAAAATCCAAAATTAAGATTGGTGGCTCTGTGCTGTGGAGTTGGTTTTGACTCACTACTAACATAATATTGTAGATAATATAGACATTCAAAATCCTGAAAATTTTTTAGTTTTTCTGTGTCCTGATCATTTGGATAGCTAGTTCCTAGACCCTGAGTAGATACAAATAAAGATTAGGTCAGCAAACATCTTTGGAATTTCATTTGTTTGTTACAGACTTTTAGTGTGTGTTGTCAAGTCTGTATCTTTCATGTGGTTTATTCATGATTTGTGTTTATATTCTGCAGTCTTAGGAGTGAAGGTGATATATGTCTAATGAATAATATATGACCAGATGTTTCAGTGAAAGCTTCATTTCTATGCATTAGCAAAAAAGCACAATTCCTTGTAGTAGGAGAAGTGAGTTAACATTAAAATGCACTTCATGAAAATCAGTGTTTCTAGTATGAATTAAAGATTCTTATTTTGTGATGACTCATTCTGGAGAAAATAAAAAATGCATCACAATTTGCAGTTTTTTCAAAAAGGAAAAATATATATACTTTGCACACAATACAGATCTGCCATTGATTTTTAATTAGTGTTGATGATTACACATGTTGTAGAAGACAGGTTATGAGTTATTTCCTTTTTATTTCTCTGGAATCTCAGTTATCTGGGTAATTTATTGAATGCTTATTTTCATTTAGTAATGTGGGGTCCCTATATAATTTGGGGTATAATGGTATAGGAATCCTGGTGTGATGCTGCAAGGCCAGTGGTTAAAACCCACTAGTAGCTTCTTGGAAAACCCTACACAGGGTTGTTATGAGTTGGAACTGACTCAGTGGCACGTAACAGCAACAAATATAATGGTGTGGTCCCAAAGGTCTAGTTATGCTATCTGTCCCTCTGTCTTCTCCCTTTTCCACTCTTTCTACTGGATCCCTAGATCCTCGGGTGCCTCTTGTAAGAAAAAAAAATACTCACTTTGGTTGATTTTACATGTATATGCTGACTGTGAAAGATCTCTGGTAGTATTGTAGGATAAGCGCTGGACTTCTAATCACAAGTTTAGCAGTTCAGATTCACCAGCTGCGTGATACATTCTGCTCCTATGAAGATTTAAAGCCTCAGAGCCCCTATACAGGGTCACTGTGAGTCAGAATCATTTTGATAATAGTGGTTTGGTTTTGGGGGTGCTGTTTGTGGTAATGGGAAGCTTGACACTGTGCAAGAACTAGGTGATGAGTCCTTGCTTTTTGTAGGTGCTCAGGGCTACATGAGCCACTCTCTAGTTTTATGCTGTGTGTATAAACTGCAGTGGAAATAACTATGAACTTTCATGTTTAAAATTGTTTTAAAATTTCTTTTACTTTTGGGAGTGAGGCAACTGATGCCGACTAGTATAGATAGACCCAGAGACACAGCTGACTGGGTGATCAGTGTACACACTCATTACTGTTAAATCATTTCGGACACAGCAGCCCTGCAGGACAGAGTTGTTGTTGTTAAGTGCCCTTGGGTCGGTTCCGACTCATAACAACCCTGTACAGGGTTTCTGAGAAGCAGCTGGTTGGTTTTAACCGCCGACTTTATAGAACTGCTCCAAAGGGTTTCCAAGGCGGCAGTCCCCTGCACGCCGACTGTCATATCTGCTGATGGTTTCAAACCACTGACCTTCGATTAACAGTCAAGTGCCTAACCACTGCAGTAACAATGGGAACACAGTAACTCTACAGACTGTATTCATAAAAAATTCTGAGAAAGATTCTTGTTACTTGAATTTGCCTTCTTCCATTTCATTCCAGAAATGGATTAAGAACGTGTTTGCTACTTCTACATATTTCTTATTTTGTCATAATTAAAAAAAAAATTTGTGTATATTAAATATGGTGGTGGTGTGCCATCAAGTCACTTCCAACTCATAGCGATCATGTATAGGGTTTCCGAGGCTGTAAATCTTTATGGGAGCAGACAGCTTCATTTTTCTCCCATGGAGTGACTGGTAGATGCGAACTACTTACCTGCGGTTTGCAACCCAACTCGTAATCCATTATGTTACCAGGCCTCCTATATGTTAAGTATAATAATGAAAAATTATTTCTAAAATTAATCTGAGGTAAAATTGGTTAATGAGGCCCATTAAATGTAAAGTAATCGGCCTTATTAAAAAACATCTTAGCCTTTTGGTCATTTTTTTTTCAACAGATGTGTTGTTGCTTGTGGGCTTTCTTGCAAGGGAAAATTTATTTTGTTTTTGTGCTGTAGTGTGAAGTTGTATTTTATGAAAGGTTAGGTCCTAAAGTCATTGTGTCAAATAAAAATCACATGTAGTTAAAAAAAAAAAAAGCTTGATAATCTTGTAGCAAGGGATAATAACACACCAACAAGTTCAGCTTAGCTTTAGCGTTGGAACAGATTGCAGTTTCTTTGTTGAGCATTAGATGAAGTAGTTGACTTGCTTTTAGGGGCCATGTTGAACAACATATACAGAAGTGTCCTTAAATATGAGAATCCTGTTCAGCATGGTGTCATGCTCATATGGTGAGAGGCACTGAGGAACTGAAACTACCGGGAATGGTGTACCAACTAAACATCTCAGAGCTCTAGGATAGGTGTCCTAGTAGCAGGGAGGGTGTGTGCACTGCTTCCTCTTCCCCTTCCCAAAGATGATAGTTAAATGTAACTTTTTTGCTGCAGTTTAACAGAAGTAAATTTAAAGGGTTTCAGGTTATTTGTTAAATTAGATTTTATCTATAAAAATAACTCTAAACTTATTTTATTTCTCCACTTCAGTGAGGCAGTGAAGTATCACAGTGAGGAACGCAGTATTTAACAGTATGTTAGAATTCAATCAGGAAAACAGAAACTTAAATAGAAATTTCAATATAATAAGGGAGTTTTACTATAGAAAGCTAGGAGTGGGAGAGCGAAAAGGCACCCTCATAGTACAAAACCCAAGAATTTAAGAGGCCCCAAGGGCATGGGCTTTGGACCTTTGAGAGAGGTCATCATTGTTCAGCTGCTACTAGCAGTCTGAAGGCATGTGATAGGCTGGTTTAGGAAGTACCGAAAGACGCTGAGAGTTGGCACCAATTGCTGCTGCCAGGATGCATGGCTGCTGCTGGGGCGATACTGACAGGAAATGAAAGTCCTGTCACCACCCCCCTTTCTGTTTTCTAAAATCCATACACTACCCCCTTAGGCAAAACCTAACCAGAAGCTCTTTGGCAGAGGATTGGTGATGTATACTTGCATAGTCTCAGTCCCAGCAATGATATAGCAGAATCTATAAGATGGTTTTGAAGTTGAGAGACAGTGAATAAATTACCTGCACAAATAGTACAGGTTAAAATCAGGGATCCTGTCCTTACCTTGCATGCTGGAAAGACATTTATTGAATATCTTCTGTG